AGCTAGCGAGGAGAAATCACTCAGAAAAGGCAATTTGCTGCCCACAGGGTCAAAGTAAAGGGTTGACTTTCAAGTATTCACTCATCTTCACTAAGGGACTTTTACTTAAATTTTGTATTGCGAGTGTAGTTTTTGTTCACGCAGTATATCTATCTGATTTGCTCTCACAAAGAAGTGGAAACAAAGTACGAATAGTCCAACAATCAGCAAAGTTCATAATTTTTTAAATTTCTTGGATATAGAAACAAATTGTAGTAACTCATGTGTAAAAAGGCCAGTCTACGTCAAATGAAATATCTAGTCAACCAACAAGGCAATTTTGAGCACTATACTGAAATTCAAACGATGATTTTTGAACAAACATTACATTTGCATTATATAGGTGCCGTTGTTGCACTTGTCTGTCTGTAGTCCAGTTTATCCCATTTCATTTCAAAGGTGGTTCACTTAAGAAAGATGGTTATGGTGACGGACTTCATGCCAACCAAATGTCCACGAATATCTACTCACATGCACTAAGGAGTTCAGACACAGTTCAGTCCAGTTGGCAACACTGATAGCTGATAGGTGAAGGTTTTGCCATTTAGGTTTACTGACATATTTGGTTGGTGTCAGCGTTTCCATCATGACCACGCATCTGTGCCTCTGAACGTCAGTGACGGTGTCTACTATGGTGGTGTGTGACACTTCCGCAACATGACAGTTATTTCTGTGTTCTTGTAGTCTTTTGGAGGAACACCGAAATAGGGACGCCTGCAGATTTGGCGTGTGAATTGTCGGGGTAATGTAGAAGAGCCGAGTGTTGGAGGGTTACCGGTGATCACAATCATCGAATTCTAGATTTCATTTTTAGAAGTTGGTTATTGTGCGTCGAGTGTCATGACAGACACTAAGCAAGCAGGTATTTAGGCAGAGACAGCTGATAAGCAGGTAGGTGGTTAGATGGGTAGGCATCCAGGTGGGCAGGCCGACTGTCACACAATGTTTCAACCCTACTAACTAATGCTTCACTACCGAAGCTTTTTCCAGCCCAGAGGACAGCTGAATGCAGGTAGGCCTATGAGGGGACCGCGTGAAGGAGAAGGTCATCCTGCGCCTCCTTCAACATGTCCATTGGTTGGATGAACTGAGAGAGTATAATCTGAATGACTTCTACTATTAGTACCTGTAACTTGTAGTGTGGTGAAAGGAGTGGAGGAGAATGAGGATAATTCATAATTTGTAGCAGTAGCTTTTCTGCCTTGGATAAAATTGCAAGCACTCAGAAGGTCTAACTGCAATTCGATCTTGTTTAATTATGTCGTAAGCTAACACAGACTGCTCCATGATGGTTTAGCCAATCTGAGAAGCCTTCACGTTTTTTTAGATAGCAAGACAAAAAAATAACACACTTCAAAACTTCTTTTTCTAACATATGCAGAAGTCCCCCTTCCCATTAAACACGGTTCTAGATGAAAAAGTCTCGAGGCGAAATTTTCGTATTTTGGCTGTTTTTATCGTGTAGTTTGGTGTTATGCTATTAATTGAGAAAAAGAATGCCAATCCTTGATTGCAGGGTGGAAAAATCACTTAATAAATGGCACAAAGAGTCACTAACTCTAATCAAGGCACAATCTAGTAACGAATAAGG